TGTGGTCAACAACGGCGTCAGAGGGGACTGTGGGAACCCAGCCTTGGGCATCCTCTTCTTCACCACCTACATCATCATCTCCTTCCTCATTGTGGTCAACATGTACATCGCCGTGATTCTGGAGAACTTCAATGTGGCCACGGAGGAGAGCACGGAGCCCCTGAGCGAGGATGACTTTGACATGTTCTATGAGACTTGGGAAAAGTTCGACCCAGAGGCCACCCAGTTCATTACCTTCTCTGCCCTCTCAGACTTTGCAGACGCCCTCTCTGGCCCCCTGAGAATCCCCAAACCTAACTGCAACACGTTAATCCAGATGGACTTGCCTTTGGTCCCTGGAGATAAGATCCACTGTTTGGACATCCTGTTTGCCTTTACCAAGAATGTCCTGGGAGAATCTGGGGAGTTGGATTCTTTGAAGTCAAATATGGAGGAGAAATTTATGGCAACTAATCTTTCAAAAGCATCCTATGAACCAATAGCAACCACGCTCCGGTGGAAGCAAGAAGACATTTCAGCCACTATTATCCAAAAGGCCTATCGGAGCTATGTGCTGCACCGCTCCCTGACCATCTCCAACCCTCTAGGTGTACCCAGGGCTGAGGAGGAGGCTGTGTCACTCCCAGATGAAGGCTTTGCTGCATTCATGCCAAATGAAAATGGTGTGCTCCCAGACAAATCTGCAAGTACATCTGTCACATCTTTCCCACCATCCTACGACAGTGTCACTAGAGGCCTCAGTGATCAACTCAACATGCACACACCTAGCTCAATGCAAAATGAAGGTGACGCTGTCAGTAAGGAAGCCAGTAGTCCCTAGTGAGGACGCTTTAGCATGGGCATATCCAGTTCTGATGTGTCCTTCTGCTCTGTGACAGCTTACCTACCACCTCACCAATGCATGCCACTGGTCACACTGTCAGAACTGGACAGGGAATGCAGTTGGTACCCACCTTTGGAGAAGCCCTCACACACCAACAGGAGTCAGAAGGCAAGGACATCTCCACTGTAATTTCCCTTTTAAATTTCAGTATCAGATGATGGGTTACCTTGCTTTCCAGAAAATAACCCTAGTCCTTTTGATTTTGATTGTGACCAGAGCTCCTATTTACCAAGACCAACATCTCAGGACCAGACCTTCCAAAGATATATGGCAAGGATGTTGCTGAAGGTCCCAACTAGTCCTCTGTGAAACACCACACTGAGATTGGCAGTGTTATTTAGGATTTTGCATGACTGCATGTTGAGAGCTGCCACACCATTGCTCCAGCCCAAGGTAACATCTGTGGTCTATGTCATGAAAGTCCTTTGAGATATCCATTAAAATTAATATTTTTAAAGGTATGTCAAAGCCAATGTTACATGTTAAAGCATCATTTTTAAAAATTATGTAATACTGACGTGTCATAAATCACATCTTCACTTTCAGGGTTCCTGATATTTTGCAGTTTGTGCTTATGGCTGGGTGGGCAGGAAGGAGTATGGTCCTGGGAACTTGTTCTAATCCTAACTCTTCCACTGCTTGCCTGGCTGACCTGAGCCAAACTCTTTCCCCTGTGAACCTCTTTCCCCATGGTGGTGGCATATAGAACAGATTCTCTCTGCAGCCCTTGCATTTCATGTTGTAGAACTCAGTGGGACCCTGTACCAACTTAGATGACAAAAACACTCTCTTCTGAAACTGCAGTGGCTAAACCTTTCTGCCGTGCAGCCAAGAGGCAACTTTTGAATGTATTCCAGAGCCTGTTTCACATCTCACAGACTTTGAAGAGGAAGATTTTCACATTTCTCTTGGACCATGACGCCATAATTATAAAATCAAAAGAAAAGGGACATTTTGAGAAAATGATTGGAAGATAAAAGGTACGGCCAATAGTTTCTTTAATTCATCCTACAAAAGTTATTAAGTACCTATTACATGACAGACATTGCTCTAACTCTGTAATGGGAGTTAAGCCCCCAAAGATTAACTGGATTGATGCAGTGAATGGAGCAAGAGTTGTCAGGGGATGGTATTCAGGCCAAAGGCATGGAGCAGGTGTTAAGATGAAGGAGAGTAAAGTTCGAGTGACAATGTAGGACATAAAGGATCTAATGACAGCCATGATTTTCTAGTACCTCTTGGGACATTCTCTGCCACAATGACAAGGATCAGGTCAATTCATTGATACGTATTTGATGGCTTCATAAGATTTCCTATTTATATAATTACAAAGCCTAGAGACTGGTTTACCTTACATGCGTCATGGACACAGATTTTCTTACTCTCCTTTCTCTGTCACAGTTGGCCCATCAGAGGCCAAAGAGGCTTTCAGAATGCTTGTTGGGGTTTGCAAGCACCCACAGATACAGGTTAATAAGATAATGATAGAATATCTGAAGGTACGGGCTGACCCAGTACAAATCAGCTATTCTCTGGATGCCTGGTTGGTATCTTAACAATGACTTCAACCAAATGGCTCTTCCCCCCTAGTTCCACTGGACCAGAGCGGACACATATTGACTGTACAGCTTCTTCAACAGTTAAATCTCATGCAGTCAATGAAAATGCCATCTGAGAGGATGCTTGCCCAAGTGTTTATAAGATGGCTGAGTAGACAGAAAGCTTGGGGACTGGCCTACTTTTACAGTGTTATGTAGAAGAATTAAACATACCCAACCATCAAACTAATTTTATTAAGTAGATGATATTAGAAGATATTTCAAAAATATTCTTGTTACATGTTTTGCCCCAGATTGTGAGTTGAATTGTGTCCCTCCAAAAGATAATTCCTAACCCTTGGTACCTGGGAATGTGACCTTATTGGGAATAAAGTCTTTGCAGATGTAATCAAAGTAGGATGCAGTCATACTGGGTTAAAGTAGGTCCTAATCCAATGACTGGTGTCCTAAAACATGAGGAAAATGTGAACTTAGACATACAGAGAAGAGGATGCCGTGTGAAGACACAGAGAAAGAGAGAGAGGACAAGTATGTGAAGACAGAGGCAGAAGCAGAAAATGATGGCCTAAAACTGTACTTAAAATCGATTGCAGGTGAACCTAAATGTGAAAGGCAAATCTATAAAGCTTTTAATACAGAAAACTATCTATCTACATGATCGTGGAGTAAAAAAAAGGCTGATAAACTCAACTACATTAAAATTTAGAAAATAAATTCATTAAAATACATCATCAAAAAGAGTGAAAATGCAAATTTATAGAATGGATAAAATATATAAAACACTTATATCCAGCAAAAGTCTAATATTCAGAGGAGATTTTTATTAACATGCTCTGGGAGACATGAACAAGATTTCTTACCATCATTGTTCATAATAGACCCAAATTAGTAAAAAAAACTAATGTCCACCAGCAGTAGAATAAATTAATAAATTGTGGTACATTTTTTAAACGTAATTTTATGAAGTAATGAGAATGGATGAGTTATAGCCTCATACACATCTAGATGCTTCTTAGAAATATTAACATTGAGTGAAAGAAGCCAGACACCAAACTATATATACTACTTAATTTTATGAGGTCCCAAAACAGGCAAAGTTGAATATATTGTTTAGGAATGCATAAAGAAGAGCAACAGTGAGTCCATAAAAGTCAGGGTGGAGGTTACCGATAGGGGGAAGGACTATGTCTTTGTGACTGTGTCTTGGGCAATGCTCTAATTTCCCAGCTAGGTGGTTCTCTTTCTGAGTGTTGTCTTTATAACCATGTATTAAGCTAAACATATATGTCTAATGCATGTTTCTATGTGTGTGTCACATCTCACAAGTTAAACATTTTGAATAGCTTAGGTTAGATTCTGCATCTTCACAGAAGTAGTTACCATCTGCTGCTTTGAATTTTAGCATTTCTACCTTGGACTTGGATTATCTGAGCTGAGTTGTAAAAGGAAGAGGAGTTCGGTAGTGGGTAATAGAAGAGAAAATTCGAAAGAAAGGGAAATTTCAACTATCAGCTTTATCAAAGTAACCACCATCTCTCACCAGTGTTATTTCCATAAAGTTCCAACGTGTCCCTCATTGCTACTCTTGTCCCCAGCAGTCTACTCTCAAATACCAGCCAGAGCTCAAAACCCACCCTTGGCTTCTACACACTCCAAGTCAACGTCATTACAATGGTTTTGTGTAATCTGGCCCTTTCTCCTCTCCTCATCTCTCCCCAACTCTCTGTACCTCAGCCACACTGCCCTCCTTGCTGCTCCTTAAATACACCAGGCACATCTTGCCTCAGGGCAAAGGCCCATGGAACTTGCTTTTCCCTCAGCTGTTACATCCACACAACTCACTCCTATACTTTCTTCAGTTATTCCCGGACCAACCTATGTAATGACCAGCCACATCTAGCACTGATCACCCTCTGGGATGTCACATAGGTACTTGCTCATTGCCTGTCTTCCCCACTAGAAGGTTAGCTCTGTGAGGGCAAGGACTCTGCTTGCTCACAAATGTATCCCCAGCACCTAGAACAGTGTCAAAGTAAATCCACAATATTCATTCAATGAGTTAAATTCTTTCTTCTTAATCAGTCCAAAGGTAGCTCCCTCATGGCCCAGTACCCAACAGTTAGCCATCCCATAGATGACAGTAGAAGATAAAACATACTAACTTCAAAAAATATCTCTATTTAGAAAAGGAAAACACATTCAGAAGTGCTAGTCCACAGGATACCCTGGAGCACGGACTGCTTGCCTTGACAGTGGAAAGATATCTTGGTCCTGCTTCTGGGAGAATTCCTCATCCACTGTTCTACTCTCTCATGAGACAGGAGCCCTGGGAAGAAATTTCTTCAGAGGAATGGACAGCTTACTGCACTTGCCATTGGTTATCAGTGAGCCCTGGAAACTGTCTTCAGGTTTGAGCAGTCATGGGCCATTATCTCCCTGGACTGAAATTTCTCTGGCCATACAACTCCCTTAAAACACTAGCATGATTTCTAGCTCTAGCATTGTACCAACTCAATAGATCTTGTTGGGTTATGGTCCTTCGATCAAAATTAGGACTGGATATCACTGGCTTTTAGCAATAGACGTTTTGCCCTCCTTCACCCCTCAGGTGAATTGCCTGCCTTCTGGCCTCAGGCAGCCACCATCTATAGATATTATTGAAAAACAGCTGGCTTGAGTATAGAGGCACAGCTCACCTGCGCCTACCCCAGTCTGTATTCTATTAGAATAATCAGTATGCTGGTAAATGTTTAACAATTAGCTCTTCAGGAGAAAAAAGGAAATCCCTGATTTGTAGCACTTTCTGATTTTTCTGATGTAAATACTCCCACCATGGCCCATGTCAAGCTACTGATGTGACATCTCTGAAGGCAGAACTGGGAAGAGACGTTGACTCGAGTCAGTACAAGCTGTCTCCAGCACACCACTGTCTCCAACCTCCCTGTCTTTTCTCCACCAATATTAGCTTGGGAAAGAAATTTGCTTTTTTCCACATTCTTCAAGGCATGACTATAAGATCTCGGGTTGCTGGTCATAGGCAGAAAAGGCCTCCCTTTCTGCTTTCATATGGGCCCGTTTAGGCCAAGTTTGTCTTTTTGTGTGTGTCTTTACTAAGTCTGCAAGAAGTAGCCCACACCTCACAAAATTCTAGAGGTTTTTCTATCAAGGTCCTTCAACTCCTGCTGCAAGAAGTAGGGGGTCCGAGTCTCTAGATATAATAGACTACAGATAAAAGCATAATAGGAATTTCAAAATTCAGACCTGGGGATAGGAGATTCCCAGTGTCTGACCCCATCTCATCTTGGCCAATGCCACACTTTAAGCTCTATTAACAGTAATACCAGTCTCCATGTATCAGTTTCTGTGTCAGCAGGTGTTATTTGGTTATAAGCAACAGAAACCCATTCCAGCATAAAAAGAATTTACTTGAAGGCTATGGGGAAGCTCAGAATGGAATTAAATGCTGAGCAATCAGCAAGTACAGCAGCCAACAGACAATCTCTTCATAGAGCCAGAACCAGTTAGTTCCCTCTTTTTTCCTTGAGGGTGTCCAGTTAGGATTCAGGGTCCAAGGAAAGAGCATCTGATTGGCCTAGCTCTAGCAAGAAAAGGGAGGGGCATTTTGATTGACAGCTCCAACAGGACTGCAGTCAATTGCCTCTTCCCACCCCTCTGTAGCTGTCCACCCCACCACACACACAAAAAAAGTTAATGCACCGTTAACAAATGAAAGGAGGCTGGGCTGGCAAAAATTCATGCTTTGTAAAGAACCCTCTGGCAACAGTAATAAATTACAGAGAAGTTGAAGTTGGTGCAAAAGGGGAACCTAAACTATGGATTTTTGAGTCTTTCTTGCACATTGACTAAAAGTCACTAAGTCTGCTCAGATAGAACCCCTACAGCATGGACTAGGG